CCGAGCGCGAGCTGGAGCTGCTGCGCACCAGCCTGGAGCATCAGTGCGGGGTGAGCGAGCTCCTGCGGAGCCGGCTGCGAGAGTTGGAGGAGGCCCGAGAGGCTACGGAGGAGGCAGCGGCCCAGTCTCAGTCGCGCGAGGCTGCAACCCAGACCCCATGGGGTTGTGTTGAGAAGTCCACGCAGACCGAGCCTTCCGCGGAGGTCCCTTACCTGACGCGGAGCCCGTCTGGACTCACAGATGGGGACAGGGCCATAGCGCCCGCGGGTGAGTCCCAACCTCTCCCGGAGCCCTGGCTTGATGACCACTGGTCTCGAATTCAGTGCCCTTATCTGATCCCTGGCAGGCATCCTCAAATCCATCATGAAGAGGAGAGACGGAACACCTGGCGCCCAACCCAGCCCCGGACCCAAGAGCCTGCAGTTTGTTGGGGTCACCAACGGAGAGTGAGCATTTTCCCCCTCCTCATGACAGCATCTACGGGAACATGGATTGGGGTTTGAATTCCAGCTCTGCCCCTCAGTTTCCTCCTCTGGGAAATGGGGATAGCCAATCCCAACTGGCAGGACTCCGGAACGAGCCCACAGGGGAGGTTCAGCAGACGCCTCCCAAACTGCCCCCAGGTACGAGAGCTCATCCAGTGAGGAAGACAGTGACAGCGAAGATGGTGCTGCCGATCCCCTGAGGAGCAGCTCCTGTGGCTCTGGGGAGGACAGCGGCCAGGGATCTGACTCGGGCACCCCCGGCCCTCCCAGCAGCGGAGTCGTTCGGGACCCCGAGCCGGAGCCAGAGGCAGAGCCTCAGCCGGGTGCGCAGGGGAGGTGAGCAGCGCCAGGACACTGGAGTGGGGACTGTTTTCTTTCCAGTTTCCACGCCCCCACCCCCACCACTCCTGAGCCTCTCCCGACCTCTTCTGTAGGTGCGAACTGAGCCCGCGATTGAGGGAGGCGTGCGCAGCGCTGCAGCGGCAGCTGAGCCAGCCCCGTGGAGTCGCCCGTGACAGCGTGAGTGCGCGAGGAGACAGCTCTTTACAGTGGAAGTCGTGGGGTCCACCAAGGACCTCCCCTGATGTCCTTAGGGAAGCGCCTGTTGTCTAGATTTGGGGGAGGGTCTGGAGTTCCGTCTAGCGCCAGGGACCTCCACCAATCCCAGGCTCTCTAAAGGAATCTCCCAGGACCGCGCTGATCCTTACCTGGTTCCCTAAAAGGATCCCGCCCCAGGCCCACTCTCGGACTCCCCAAAGACAAGCGCTCACCACCTTCGGGGCCCAATGTACTCCCTCTTCCAAAGGGGTGCGGCCCCATGGGGTCCCTACGGCCCTCCTCAGACAAGCAGTGACCATCCCCCCCCCTGCCTGGACTCCCAGCCCCAACTCTGCACCCTCCCTGCCATGGCACCGGGACCTTCGCTGATGCTTTTCCCTGTCCCGGCAGGGCGCTGCGCGCCTGGTGGCACTGGAGTGGTTTCGAGTGTCCAGCCAGCGCCGTTCGCAGGCTGAGCTTGTAGCCGGGGTCCTGCGGGCGGTAGCATGCCTGGGACAAGAGCTGCTGGCCCACGTGGTGAACCTGGCCGACGGCAATGGGAACACAGCCCTGCACTACAGCGTGTCCCATGGGAACCTTGCCATCTCCAGTTTGCTGCTGGATACTGGTCAGCATGGAGGAGGGGTGGGCAGGGTACTAGGCAATGGGGTGGACAGGTAAAGGAGGACATGGGCAGTTCTCAGCTGGGAAAACCTGAAGAAATGTAGAGACAGGCTGGCCAGGCAGATGGCACCACCGGTCCTTCACTGGGTGTTTCAAGATCCAACATGGACTGACCTGAGCTCTGCCCTGACCCAACTCACTTTCCAGACTTTTGAATTATGTTGTCCTAAATTTAGGGGGTTATTTTAGCTCTTTCCTTCCTTAACTGTGAAATGGGGATGCATCATCTCCCTACCTGGGAAGCTAGAACACCTGTAGAAGCATCAGGCATGCAGGATGAAGCTCCAGCCCTGGTGCTTCCTAAGTCCACATGTCCAGCCAGCTGCCTTTCCAATCTTGAGGGAAGATACTCACTGGTCAGGGCTGTGACGACCATCCTGGTCTGGGACTGTCTCTTATCCTCCAATTACACTTCCTACATTTCCATCCCCTGCCTCAGGAACAGAGATGGTCCCGTGTTGCAGAACCCAGACATGTACTGAGAGCATACTAGGTACCAGGTAGTGGAATGGGAAACCCATGCTGCTTTGCCCATGGGACCAACTGCCCAAGAGCCCTTCTGAGTACCCTCCCTCAAGACCAGTAACCTCTGGGGGCCTGCAGGTCTTGGTGACCAAAGGAAGGTCACAGCTACTCTGGGGTGGTTACCAGGCTGGGGCTTTGTGGAGGAGGTGATACATTGTTATTTTCTGGGCATCCTCTGTCATTCATAAGAGACCCAAGGCTCCTTGGACCCTTTTAGCCTGTATTGAACCCGATTCAGCCAACTCCCTATCAGTCACCACCAGTATCCCCCATACCCTACCCACTTGCAGTCATGTCAGCCTGGTCCAACCTCCCCCAGGTCCCTGAACCCTCAATGAACCTCATATAGGGGTTGCTTTCCTTTCATCCCTCCAACTTGGCTTCTCAGTTCCTTGACCACCTCCTCTCCCTTCACCTTGATGTACCAGCCTTACACTTGAAAGGTCACCTTAAAACCCTGTCACCTCCTCCATAACCTTACTCCCTAACACCCTTTTTCTCAACTTTCACCTCCCTGAGGTCTCAGCTTCCTCTCCCATTCCTTAACTCTAACAATCCTCAATCTTAGGGGACCATTATCAATGGTCCCCAACCCATCTCCTTGGATACCAGTTATACAGGATTAGGGCCTACCATAATGACCTCATTTTGTTACATCTGCAAAGAGCCTGTTTCCAAGTAAGGTCACATTTACGGTTCTTCAACATGTTTTGGAGGACACATTCAATTTGTAACAGGCTTGGGGAAGGGGAGGATTCCAGAGAACATACGTTAACAGCTTCATAGGTCATGGTGGACAATAGCATTTACTCCAGGAGTAAACAGGAAGGTTTTAAATAGACTGGACCAAATTCCTTTGATCTACTCCTGGCTGCTGGAAGGAAATGAGGGGGGACTTGGATCAAGGTGAAATAGTTGGCATAGTTCTCTGGGGGAACAATGATGGTGCTTGTAGCCATAAAAATAAACATCCCTTATTGAGTGCAAGGTAGAGGGCAGAACACTGAACGTGAGAGGAGCCACATGGCTCTTGGTGGGAGAACCTTGTAGGCAAAGGGGAGTCAATTCATGACCCATGGGGACCACCTGTAACGCAGATGAACCCGAGACTGGGAGAGGTGAGTGAACCAGGTTGGGCTAGGGGTGTAGGCTTAGTTGACTGATCCCCTCCTTACTCTTAGGAGTCTGCAAGGTTGACTGCCAGAATCAAGCAGGCTACTCAGCCCTTATGTTAGCTGCACTCACCTCTGTTGGGCATGAGGACATCTCTGTGGTCCAAAGACTCTTCCAAATGGGCAACGTCAATGCCAAGGCCAGCCAGGTGCGTGGATACTTACAATTCAGGAACCAACCCTGATTTTTACCTCCCTTCTCCTAAAGCCCACCCAGTCCTGTCTTCCCCACTCCACAGACAGGACAGACAGCCCTCATGCTGGCCATCAGCCATGGCCGACAGGACATGGTAGCAGCCCTGCTAGCATGTGGGGCAGATGTCAATGTGCAAGATGTGGACGGAGCCACAGCACTGATGTTTGCCAGCGAGTACGGGCACCTGGAAACTGTCCGGTTGCTACTGGCCCAGCCAGGCTGCGATCCTGCCCTCCTGGATAATGTGAGCTACTGTGGATGGGCTGGTTGGGTAGGCAGGGTACCCATGCCTTGGTTCAGTGACCTAACTGTCCGTTTTTCTTCAGGAGGGCACCAGTGCCCTGGCCATGGCTCTGGAGGCTGAGCAGGATGAGGTGGCTGCTCTGCTGCATGCCCACCTGAGTTCAGGCCAGCCTGGTCCCCCGGTGAGTGTAGCTCTAACCTCAAGCAACAAAACTTTACAGCTGCACACTGTGCAAGGATACCCAGCATGCTCTAGGAAGGTCTCCCCTTCCTACTCCCTCAGGGGAATAGTAGGATGGGGATCTGGGGGCTTCATCTCCTATGTGGGTGGGACACTTTCTCAATTTTATAGATTGAGACTGAGGCCTGCAGAGGGAAAGGGACCTGATCTATGATCAGAGGAGGCCTGGTAGAGTTTCTGTGAGTTATTGCCCCCAAAGAGGCTCATAGCAAAGGAGTTTAGGACCCTTTGTAGTTAAGCCTGGTTGGGGAAGAGGATGCAGGCCCCCTGCAAGAAGGAGCTTCAGAAATGAAGACTGGATCAGTTTGCCAGCAGCCGGCAGGTAGGGAACACCCAGGGTGTCCCTCCAAGGGGAGAGAGGTAATACTCAAAGCTAAATCAGCTTGCCCATCCTCTTTCCAATAGAGATGTGGGAAAGGAGGCATGGTTAAGTGCCTCTTCCAGGTCAGATGGGGTAAAGGCAGGATTCAAACCTAGGCAGCCTGGCTCCTGTGAAGGAGTTTTTCCTCAAGTTAAGCATCCTTGAGTCTGTGGCATCTGAAGTCCACAAGAGATTGTGACATGACCTCCACCACCTTTCTCACCAGTCACCCCCTGACTCTCCCACGGCCACGCCTGGTCGAAGAGGAAGCAGCGATAATGGAGAGGACCCCCAGCCTCAGTGAGCGGCCTCGCACAACGGACCTGGATAGGGGCAGGGTGGCGAAGGATTGACCTTTCTTAACAAATAAAACATTTCTAACTGAACTTGTATCATTTTCTAGGAGCACATATAGACACTTGGTTTCCGTTCTTCAAAAAGAAAATGCCTTGTTGGGGTAGAGCCTTCCTCCCTCCCTCAGGTTTCCAGAATGCAAAGGGGCCAGTGACCCACCAGAAGGTATTGTAAGCCTAGTGACCCCAGACAAGAACCCGAATTTACATAAACGCTTTATTAACAGTGGAGCATCTTCCCCATGGGCCATGTGGTTCACCCAGACAGCCAGGACCCTGTAAAAAGACCCAAGCATGAGATGCTGACAGGCCTCCCAGCAACTGGCAAACTCCCTCCCAGCCTTGCAGCCCGTTTCTACATCCTCCTCCTCCAAGAGCCCTCACCCAGGGCTTGCCAAAGCCTCCCTCCACCAGCCGGGAGAGTTCACGGGGCCGGCTCTCAGTCCCCCCATCCCGGTACTGCACTCACCAGGCACCAGTTCAGCGCAGCCTCCGAGCCTCTCGCTCCGACTCCAGCAGAGTGAGCACGTCGCCCTCGCGCACAGGGCCTTTCACGTTGCGGATGATGGAGCGGCTCGTGTCGTCCATGAACTCCACGCGGACCTACGGGACCCACGGGGGTGGGCAGCAGGTCTAGATTTAGGGGGCGTGAAGGGGCCGGCCCAGGGAAACAGAAAGGGGGATGAGGCTCGCTGGCAGGTAGGACTGGGCCGGGAGGAAAACCAAAAAGGCGGAGACTGGCGAACAAAGCTCCCGAGCGCCAGAAGCTGCCACCATGGGGGGAGGCTGCCGCTCTGGGCCCGTTGCGGACGGGTTCACACTCGGCAGGGCGTGAAGCCACACAGGGCCCAGGGAGACCGCTGAGCCAAGAGGAAGAGGTTCCCTGGAGCTCAGACGCGCTGGCAGGGCGGGGGGGGGGGGGGGGTTCGGACCTCCAGGAACCTGGGACAAAGGGTTCTCCGATTCCACGAGGGGCAGTTCCGATCCCGGGGCGTCCCCACGCCTCACCTGCGTGCACTGTCCCTGGGAACCGGTCCTGCCCAGCACCTTGGTGACCTGGTGGAGAGAAGCTGGGTCAGCACCGCCGGGCCCGGTGCCCCACCCCACCGGCCTCCCTTCGGCCCCGCCGGCGCCCTTCTCACCCGGGCTAGCTTGATAGGCTGCACACGGCTCGTGTCCATGATGGCGGCAACAGTCGGGCGGAAAGGAGTCACGTGCTTTGGGGAGCGTCTTTATACGCCGTCCTAGCCCCGCCCCCCTCTCGCGAGATTACACACATTTCCCAACAGCCCCCGCCGCAGCGCTGCTGCCGGCGTCCTTCAG